ACTGAACAAGGGGTGAGTATGTGCTATCAACACCTTTGCCTGTTCCTGCAAACCTTGAATCAACGTGAGGGCTTGCCTACGCACAGTTTGAATTGCACGCTCTGCCATGCCATTGGTTTCCTTCTGGCCTGAAACTGCATCTTGAAGGGTTGTTCCTAGTCCTAGAGCTGACCTTTGTTTCAGGATGATCTGCTTGAGCTTCTTCATGGTTCCTTCATTGTCTGCCTTCAAATTGATAGACTGGTACTGAAGTTGAGTGCTCATGTACGTAACGCCTTCGCCAATGTGCTCGATCAAACCTTTTCCTTTGGTTGCAGTTGGAATGCAAGCAATGCTCCTACTCCAAGAGTCAATGCAAACCAAGCTGACTGCCGTCGGGGCTTCATCATGACTTGTTCCTGTAAAACAGAAATCCATACACAATGTGGGTCTAGACGATCGTTCCTGCTCAGGGCTTTGAGTTGGATGTGGCGACTCTTTTCCTTTGCACGCAACGCATACTGGACACCAAGTGGCATACGGTAAATGTGTCAAATTGTGTACCTCAACTTCTTCAGGTTTGGGCATGACTTGGTCCTTGAGCGGTTGTGGAATGGCATATTCCTGGTACTTCTTCTGAGCAGTGTTGAGTCCTAACCGTCTCTCATCTTCCATGATCTTCCTACTGAGCCTTCTAAGGAGGTCCTGTTTTGAGCCATTCTTAGACACTCCAAGTTCTGTACACAATTCCTTGAGGATCTTCAGGCTGTTCTGCTGGTTGTACTCATGACCATCATAAATGAACGTAAGTTCTCCATGAAGTTCATACCTGTGTGCAGGGGCCTGTGGTTCCTGTTCGTCAATCTCCATGCTTTCATTCTCCGGGACTGTTTTGAGCCTTTGTTCCTGTTGTTGGGCCTTTGAACCATCTACTGGGTAGACCAACCTGAACTTAGACAGTCCTGTCCATGATCTCACTCCGAAAGGCGATGAGAACTCGTCATACTCATCTGCAATCCATGGCATCTTGTCCTCAAAGAACTCATGGTTCACTGGGTCCTCTCCGTAGGTGGATCTCTCGTTCTGGAGGTTCTCACGCTCTACGGGAATGTCCTTCAAGTCGAGCGGATGAAAACGTGTCTTCCTGGGCGTGTGGTGGTACCTGATCAGTTCAGTTCCATCCTTGCTAAGAGACCACTTGTCATCAGTGTACTCTTCAAATGTACGTCTGTCTTCCGCTTTCTTGGGTGTTCCTATGAGGTAAGGAGGAAATGCCTTGGACGAGATCAAGGTCAATACCTCAAAGTTCTGGCTCTCATCATAGATGTGGCCAAAAGGTTCTTCTAGCTCTTCATACCTTTCGTTGTAGTGCAAGAGCTGCCAGCCTTCGGTGTCTCTAACCAAAACAGCTCTGAAAGGATGTTTTCCTTGAGGATACATCATAGCTGGGTCAACATGCTCTGAGCTCTTTGGGCTGTAGTGGACTACATAGGGCTCGGTCACACTTGTCCATCCAATTCGACCTTCAGCTACGAGGTTCCTAAGCGTTTCACAGAGATAGATTGGCGTAGGGACTCCTGTTGTTTGGGATGTTGAGACTGTCCTGACAAAAGCTTTAGCGGTGAGGGAATTGTTGTTGTACGCTACTGCTATGGAAGTGTTTCCTTCAACCAAGAAAGTTCCTGTCTCACTACCGTTCCGAAATTCCCAACCTTTCTTCAACAATTTTCCTACAGCTAAGAGAGGGTGAACAACTGATGAAATCAAGAAGACTTCCTCAACCTTCACACAGTTTCCACCAACATCCTCAAACTCAACCTCAATAACCCGCTGGTCCTGTACTTTTATCCTAGTTCCTTGAGCGTCTCGGAGTTCAATCCTGCGTCGGTCCGGGACCTTCCTACCGAAATTTCGCATCCACATAGGGGCTAATGAGATATCTGCGCCTGAGTCAAGCACAACCTCAATTTCCTTTGCACCTGGGCTCTCTCTCACTGTCCTAACAAAGTTCTCTGGTTCTGAGGTGTACCAACAGTACAAGGGGTCCTTCTCTATGTCTTCACTCTCTTCATCACTCTCACTTCCAATCTGAAATTCCTGCTCTGACTTTCCTGAACTAGCCGAAACCATCAAAACTCTCCCGAAGTAATCAATTTCAAGTTCCTCAGAGTCTTCGCTCAGCTCGAACTCCTCAGGAAAGCTGGTCGGTGGATCACCGATGTGGTGCATTGTTACCATCCTGATGATCGGCTTCTGGGTTCCTTGACCTGATGAACTGGCTGATGTTGTCGCTGTTCTCGATGTTGGAGCTTGGGTTGAGGCTGTTCCTCTACTTGGGACTTCACTCTGAGTTTCCTGCATTTCTACATTCCTAGCCGTGTACCCCATGTCTCTCTGTTTCTTCCTACACTGGGCCTCAAAGTGTCCATACTTCTGGCAGTAATGGCAAACTCCTGTAGCTGCTTGGGCCTTTCCTTTGCCTTTACCTTTGTAGCTACCTTTGAACCCTTTGTAGCCTTTTCCTCTGCCTTTGAAACCTCTAAAGCCTCTACCTCGGCCTTTCCAGTTTCCACCTCTGCCTTTGCCTCTACCTTTTCCTTTGCCTCGACCTTTGAAACCACCTTTGCCTGAATCCTTGCCTGAATCCTTACCACCTTTCTTTCCTTTACCTTTGTACCCGTACCAATCTCTACCTTTGCCTTTCCAAGCCTGAGACACATCCATGGCTGCAACACCCTGATGATCTTCTCCCTTGTCGATTAGGTCAGTAGTGGTCCTATAGGGTGTTCCTTGGGACTGCGTAAGCGAATTGGTCCACTTCTCAGTTGACTCATAGTTCACAAGATACTGCCTAAGTGCCGGGTACTTCGTCTTCTCATCTAGGTTGAGCAACAAATGTCTCTTTACTTCAGGCTTCATTCCTTGAATCAATGTACTAACCTTCAAGTTTTCCTGCACCTTTTCTCCAGTGGACTTCTCGTACTGCTCAATGCGTTCCTCATATTCGAGGATGTTCTCTGCAATGCCTTTGTCCTTGGCAAAACGGAAATTCATGATGTTGTGGAAAAGTTCCAGCGATCTTGCTCTATTCACAGGCTGGTATTCTAACAACAGCATCCTATAGGCTTCCATACCGTTCTCTTCTGTCGTATGGCGAACCACACGATACGGTCTGCCTTTTGTGTAAGACGCTAAAATGCTATACAACTTCCTGCTTTGCGTTTTGGCCTCATCAGTCATATCTTTCATGTCCAGCACTTCATTCTTCCTTAGGTCGTTCTCCACGAGGTCCATGGTTTCCACAAGATCTTCATCCATAGCGCCAAGCCAAACTCGAAGTCGTTGCTTGAACTCCATGAAACCATTCTTTTCTTCTTGCCAAGTTCCTGGAGAAAATACTTCTGGAGGCTTGATGAGTTTGTGAAGCTCAACGTCACCTGGCTTTCTTCCTTTCACTGCTCTCTCTAGGCTGCTTCCGATCTCCTCGAAAGTTGTCACTGCTGTTTCCTGTGCTTGAAGCAAAGTGTGCTGTGCCTCTGCACTCTGCTGCTGAATTGCCTGCAGTGTATTGCTGAAGCTTGCTGTGATGCTTTGCTCTCGGGCTGTGCCGGCTGCTGCACTGCTCCTCATCTCTTCTGCTAAGGTTTGTATTCCTTGAAGCGTTTGCTGGTTGATTTCTGCAAGTCTCTGTAGTGCATCTTCCATTCCTTTGGCTGCTTCCAAGTTGCTGTACACAAGCACAACAAGAAACATTGTCTTGTGCTGTCTCCTCACTTCTGCTCTTCTTCTCATGCTTTTCCTTTTGGGCTCTTTCGCTCTCTTCGTCCTTTTCTGTACTGCTGTAAAGAACAATCGTGAGAAGTACGATAGGATGATCCAAGTAATCATTCCTAGAGGTGTTCCTGCGAAAACTACGAGATGAATTCCTTCAAACACTAAGCTGTGCACGACGTCGTGAAACTTCTTTTCTAGCTGTTCGAACTGTTCCTTGAAAGGGATCTTTTCTACATTGTGAAACTTTCCTTCTACTAGGCGCCTAGGAGCGTAGCCGGACTCAAGGCTCTCATTTTCTTCACTCATGTACATGTCGATGCTCCTAATCGTGTAGGCATTCATGAAGTCCTGGTTCACGGAGTACTTGTCGTAGTTCTTCTGAGAATGCGTATTGGGCTTTCCTGGGAGGCTCGTCCACACAACCATCAACTCACTCTCGTCAATCTCGGCAATCACCTTTCTCCCACGTCTTTCTTCCTTGGAGGATCTGTCATCTCCAAGGGCAAGTTCATGCTTGGCTCTTCCGGGTCCAAGGGCCTGCCACGGATTCTCTTCGAAGCCATATCTTCCTGGAGTCATGCTCATCCCGCACAAAGTGGCGAGGCTCCCCAGGGCAAAACCAACCAGCAGCACTATGCCTGCTGCCATTCCGTAGCATCTCATGTTCCTCGTCTTCACTTCCTGAATCGTGTATCGTTCAGGGAAGCAATTGAAGCAAGGGGCAAAGTCCCTCACTCTTCCACCAGCAACCGTCAGGTTCCTGATGTGACCACAACCTGGTTTGTGGTACCTTCTTCCTGCTCTTGTTGCTATCCGGACTGTGGGGAGGTACTCGAAGAACTCTCGGACTTCGACGTTCTTTTCCTGTTTCCACATTTGTATCATCCCACAGACGAGAGAAGCCATCATGGCTATGAGGACGATTCCTACTCCTGCTATGTGTAGCATCATCGCTGCCTCTGGTTCCTGGAACGGCAGCTCCGCTACCATGTCAAAGATAGGGTCAATCTAAAGCTAACTGAAAAGCTGGGACACTCCGCACTTTTCCTGGGTTCGCTGCGGTGTGTGTCCTTGTTCGAGCCTGTCGTCGACAAGACGTTCCGAGGCTCTGGTGTGCATTCCACATGCACCTGGTGCACAGCTTCCTGTACTGCGTAGATGTTTAACAAGATTCCCGAAAATGATATAGGCGGTTCTTATCAGCTATCGAGGTTGAAGGCAACATGTACCATTCAACGCGCAAGCACGTTCAGCTGGTCATCAATGCATGGCGTCTGATGGAAGTTGATGTGTGCAACCTCGAATTGCCACTTCGGTGGCTTCAGGGGAAAGGGCCCCTCGGCAGACGACCAGCCCGAGCGGTTGTCATCAACGCCTCTGGATGGGTACCTTCGCAGCACTGTTGCAAGAACATTTCTCGCACACACCAACCCCGTCGTTCCTTTACCTAGCCACCGGGATTCAAGGGAGCACTACAGCTGGTCTGCACACAGAACCGACGAAGGCCTGGTACGTTTGCATCCGAAACAGTACCGCACATGTACCAACAAGGAGAGACTGGAGCACCCAGTTAGAGGACAGGCCCATGAAGAGATCTTGACTCTCAATTACATCCTCAGCACAGCCATACATGAACCGTCATTGCTTCGGTTCTGACTAGAACGAAACACGGAACAGCCAAATCAAGTTGGAACGCAACGGTTTGCAACAATGCTGGCTAGGCACAAAGAACTAGACACCGCAAGACACAGCAAGCATCTTTTAAGCAGTTCGGATGCGGAAACACATGAACACAACAACAAAGGCAAGCGAATGAAGCTCCAAGTACCAGTACGAAGCCAGATCTCTTCTCTGCAAAGTGGAGCCCAACTGCACCAAGTTCGTCGCACCAGCACAGCTTTCATCCAAGGCCTGGTCTAAGTAGAGACGAATGAATGGCTTTAGGGTTTAGGGTTTAGGGTTTAGGGTTTAGGGTTTAGGGTTTCGGGTTTGTTGCACTTCGGTTGAAACCCAAACGTATCCTCCGCGACAAGGCTTTTTGGTCCCAGGAGGGCGATGGCAGCAAGGCGCCAGGCCATGGCTCTCATTTTTAAGCTCTTGATACTCTCGAAAGTACTCAGCGAATGGTGCGCTTACTGGAAACCTGTCGGCCGCTGCACCGGCTGGGAAAAGGCCCCTATAAAACGGTAACTCTTCTAAGAAACATGCATCATGCCATGGATCACAGCTGCGATTGTGGTTTCACCGCTGCTCTAAGCCCAAGCAAGGGAGAGGTCAAGGCATTTCAGCTCAGATTCTTCATGTCCGGCCAGGGGGCAGGCATGTGCTGTCACGAGAGGAGCTCCCATTGCCTGCAGTCCCAAACCACTTCTCAAGTTGCAGAAATGCGTTTCATTGGCAGGGGCCAAGTCGGTTTAAAGCGCGTGGTGACTTTCAGTCAAACAATGAAAAGAATCAAAATGATCCAAGACGTCCAATCTGACGTCATTGAAAGCAGCTTCCGGAGCTACCGCATACTACTATCCGCTTAAGAACCCCCAAAAAGCAAAACAAGCTCTATATTACCCTTATTTAGGAATAACATTTTGTGTTTTTGGGGGGTTCTTAAGCAATTGGAACAGTAGTATATGTTACATGATCCTGCACTGTGACAACGACCGGCCGAAGGTCGTCCAATCCGTGCGCCCCGGCCCATGATTCGTCCAGCTGTCCTTGTGGTTTGGGGTTTGGGGTTTAGGGTTTAGGGTTTAGGGTTTAGGGTTTAGGGTTTGGGGTTTAGGGTTTAGGGTTTAGGGTTTAGGGTTTAGGGTTTAGGGTTTAGGGTTTAGGGTCCAGCTGTCCTTGTGGAAGATCTGCACCGTCTGACCATCCTGGGGTGTTCTGCTCAATGCACAGCAACACACAGCCCAAAACTCATCGAAAGGCCGGATTCGCTACCTAGGGCTTCATACGCAACCCAAAGCTTCACAAGGCAGCTGCCATCCAACCCAAGCATCCACGTGAGCCACAGAGAGGTGGCTTGAATCGATGTCGCCGATCCGGAAGTGGCCGATTTGCACAAAGCGATCGCCAAAGGTCACACCCGAAGGTGTGCTCGCATCGCGACCCCACAAGCCAAAGTCGCGGCGGGGGCCGGGATGCAAGGTGCCGTCGCTGCGGAAGATCTGCATAGTATAGCCGTTGCTGTGGGAGACGGAGAAGTGGGTGGCATCCACCTCACCCACCCGAAATTGGCCAAACTGAATAAACCGATCGCCAATGATCAGGTTGGTCTTCTTGGTCTCGCGGCCCCAGGCTCCCCAGGTCGACGTCTTCCTGAGCTGACATTCAGGGGCGGCGGAGCGCTCTGAGAGAAGAAACATGTGACCATGTGTGTGTGTGTGTGTGTTGCATATCATGCGTGTGTAGGGCTTGGTGAACAAATGCTTCTCAAGTCAGCCCTGACGTCCATCCGGCAAGGGCCTTTCCCTCGGGGGCGTAGTAGATTTGAGACACCCCTCCTGAGATGTGTGCAATGGAGAAGTGGTTGTTGTCCATAGCCCCCAGGCGCCAATCTCCCAGTTGCAGGAAATCCTGACCTGAGATGCCAAAACCGGCACAGCACTTTTGGCAAAGCCTTTGTGGCTTCAGGGATTCGGGACATCCTCTAGAGCGCTCTGAAGCCAAGTTGCCGGCGATGATTCCAGGGCACGCACCGATGACCGTCTGGATGTCGCCACAATGCCACTGCGGATACCGATGGCTGATATGGGAGCCATACCAATTCTCCGTCCTCACAGAACCGGCCGATGTGTAGTATTGGAGCGTGTGAGCACCATGTGCCAAAATCAAATGATTGTAAACACCATCCGCCCCAATCCGGAAGTTGCCGAGCTGTAGGAAGCGATCCCCGAAGGTGACACCTGCTGGAGTCCCCGTAGGAAGGGCCCAGGCACTGAAGTCGTCCATGGGTCCAGCCTTTGAAGTCCAATCATACTTCAACCAACCGGTAGCTATGTGGCCGAAGATTTGCGCGGTCTTCCCGCCCTTGGCAGAGATGCTGAGCACATGGTCGTGCACGGCTGCTACGCGCCAGTTCCCGAGCTGGATGAACCGATCCCCAAAGGCAATGCCACCTGGAAATCCGATCGGCCTGTCCCATGAGCCCCAGTCCCAGCGAGGTCCGGGGTGCAGCGTGCCGTCGCTGCGGAAGATCTGGGCCGACTTGCCGCTCCTGTGCGAGATGCTGAAGTGGTTCTCATCGATGGCCGCCAAGCGCCAATCCCCAAGCTGAATGAAGCGATCTCCCCAGCGTGCAGCATGTGGCTTGCAGGGCCCAAAGACCATTTCGCCAATGTCCTTGCAGGTCCAATCGGCCGGTTTCCGGTGCTCTATCAAGTGAGTGAAGTGTGTGCCCGTGTGTGGCCAGAGGCCCTCGGGCGAGTACACTTGGATCCCTATACGATGTGTTGGATGAGTGATGATGAAGTGGACGCCATCGACATCTCCCAGGCGGAACTTGCCCAGCTGCAGGAACCTTCGAAGCATATCGAACTGTGTTACTGCTGCTGCGAAAACTCGAACATCTCAAGCCCTTACAAGACGTCTGGCCCACTGTTTTAGAACCACACATCCCCTGATCTTTCGCAGGGGCCCCTCAGCAGTGTCCCCAGGACTCCAGGGTGCTCCCAAAGCCCGAAGGAAGAGAGATGTTGGTTATCTTTCAGAGTCTTTGAGCTTCCTTTGGCACAACCACCCATGTTGCTAGCGACATCCGTGCCGCGGCATCCATTGGCCATTCCACGGAAAAAAAGAACTTCGTGCGACCAGCACATTGGCCAACGCATTCCCCAACGATAGCAACATCCACGACTCCCAACAACATTACAAGCACAGCGCAACACATTTGAAGGATGCAGCTTTCAACAGCGGATACGCACACAAGGATGGATTCCACGTGTGGCCAAGAGGTCTCATTCGGTTTTTGGACGCAGTTGCGGGACCATGTGGCCATCTATAGACCGATCTGCAGGCGAGAACAACAGGCGGCACCGCAGGACCTGAGAAGCATATGACGCCCAAGGAGAACCCGCGGGACGAAGAGGCCGAGAGCGAGACGAGCAGGAACGAGCAGGCTGCAGCTGCGGAAAGATGCCCCGCGGTTCAGGCAGAACAACTGCAGCACTGCAGGCATCTGCAGGCATGCTGCCAAAGGCAGCAGAGGCTACGCATTAGTCCACTGGTGAGGAAGACCCATGAAAAGGCTGATGAGTAGAGAACGGACAGACATGCACTAGCTGTCTTTTGAACTTGTGAAACGGGCGTGAAGGTGCGGGACATCCTAGGCTTGCCTCACCAAGGGTATTCCCCAAAGGGTCTCAGTTGGGAGCGAAAAGTTTGGCTTCTCAATCACCCAGCCTAGGGCAGGCGCCCGTACTGACATCCTTCGCAGCCTTTTTCCTTGAGGAAGTGGGCGCTCCTTTGTACTCGCGGCATGCGAGCCCACTTGTCGGTTAACCCTCTGAAGCCCGCGGGAGTGAAAGCGAAGACGGTCTTGAAACAACGACACCTCATGGCAAGCCCTCGGAACAGCCGTCGCAGACACGCAGAACGTACCCAAATGAATCAGTGGCCATTTGAGTCCTTCATGCTTAACTACTTGATGTTGGAATGACCCTGCACCCCCTAAAAACCAGCCTAAACCCTAAAAACCCGAAACCCCAAAACCCTACCAGTGCTTCCAGGTGGCCGGTCTCCAAAGCTGATGGCAGCCGGAGGCCCTTCACGTCGGTCATATGTCCCGTAATCCTTGTGGGTTTCGGGTTCAGGCCTCAAAGGGTCCTTTTTTTTGGGGGGGGGGAGGGGGGTTCTTCAGGGCTGACGGTCGAGAGTTTCGCCTGCATCTGCTTCAGGATGTCAGGAAGGGTCTACAAAGGGCCTCAGGTTTTCCTTTCGAGGCGTTTCAGAGGCAAAATGGATACTCCCAGTCGGCTCGAGGGTCGTGCCGGTTCGAGTCCAGGTAGCCATCGAACTTGAATATCTCGATGGTCTTCCCTGAGACGTGCCTTGGGTCTTGAGGTTCAGGGGCGTTTGTCAGGTTTTGAAGTTCTCCGAGGGTTTGACAAGAGCGTTTGGGGCTGCGTCTCTGCGTCGCTTGAGGAGGGCCATTCAAGTGCCTCCAGTTGGGTAGAAGCGCTCTCTTGCTCAATCTTGGGGCCAAATCATTCTGGTGCTGCCATGCCGTCATGCCTGCACATGAAACCGAGCCGGGGCATGACATGCCTCAGTGTTCACAAGGGGCACAAGGGGGGGAACCTCCAAATGCGGCCACCCGTGCGAAACTGAGAGGTGCTCGTCGTCTGCAGCCCCGAGCCGGAAATTGCCGATCTGGATAAACTGGAAGCCGAAAGAGATTCCTTTGGGCTCCCCAATCGGCCTTGCGCGGAAGCGGCTTCGTTTTGGGGGGGATCGGGGCGCAGAATTATTGTTTTTTTTTGCGACAATCGCTGAAACCTCTGAGCCCTGAATCCTAAGCCCAAGGGCGCCTGTGCCAAGAACCCCAGGTAGTGTGGGGCCCCGGAAACAGATGGCCATCGTTGCGCCAGATCTGCATTGTCTTACCATCCTCAGGGGGTTCAGGGCTCGCGGTGAGTTTTTTTGGGTGCTTTGGTGCTTGGGGCTCGTGAGCCCACAGAGAGCACTGCGCAAGATGCAAGAGGCTGCTGAGGCGAAGTCCACATGCGAGAGGCTGAAGTGGTTTGCGTCCATGGCGGCCAGACGCCAGTTCCCAAGCTGGATGAAGTGATCGCCCATCGGGAGATCATGGCATGCTGGTGCCGCTGCGGTTTTCTGGACGGTCTCCTGGACTGGGACGATATCCACGCCGGACTCCAAGGAGCCGGAGGGCAACCTCCCAGCGTGCTTGCATCCAAGCTCTGCTGCACAGGGAGCAGAGTCGAAGCCCGGTGTCCTGCAAAGCCAAGGAACTACAGCTGCAGGTTGATACAGACACACAGACACACAGACTTTGCGATCCAAACCCCAGACGCTGGCATCACGCAAGGAAACTCCGAAAGCGCGGGCGACTTAAACAAAAAAAGCAGGTGCTTGGAGTGCTCCACTGGCAAGCTGAGCGTCTTGTAGACTTCGACACAGTACATCTTCTGGAGCATCAGCTGAGAGACGTCGAAGCCAAAATCAAGGCTCAGGCTCGGAATCATCGACGTAACCGCGGACGTCGCCTGTCACAAAAACTCTCACAAAATCTCGCAAGATGTCTCACAGAATTGAGAGCCCTCAGGGCACTCATGCCTCAAAAAGGCATCCCAACAAGCCAACCAAGTGCACGAGAAGCGCACCTTGCTGGCAACCTCCGTCACAAAGTTCTTCGCAACAGCCGATCCTGTCTTCTTGAGAATTCAGGTGGTGACCCCCTACAGAAAACCCGAACCACAACTCCAAATGGGATTAGGGTTTAGGGTTTAGGGTTTAGGGTTTAGGGTTTAGGGTTTAGGGGTTCAGGAGGCCCGAATTCCTCGAAACCCTGAACCCTCCTGGGACGCAGGAGAGTACTCCGGCGGTCATCATATCGAGCAGGGCCAGCTTTCCTTCGAGGATGGCCTCTCGCGAGCGCTGACAGGCTGGGGAGGGCGGGACTTGGGAGGGGTTCAGGGTTGGGAGGGCTGCTGTTGTTTGCCTGTTCTTCGTTCTTCGTTCGTGCTGAGAGTCCCCAAGGAGGCCCCTAATCTTCAAGGCCTACAAAGACCTCCTCAAGAGTTGCACCATGAAAGTGTCCGTGCGTCAAGGCACTTGACATAAACCCCAAGAGCTTGGGATGTTCCCCCTCATGAACAGTCCTATTGGGAAAAAGGAGAACATCCAAAAAAAGAACAACAATGAAAGCTGGGACCCCGTGTGATGTCTCGGCCTGGCCTGGGTGATCGCCTTCATGATCCTGAGTGTGCAGCTCACTGGGGTGTTGAAATTCACAAGCTTCCCTTCTGGGCCTCATAAAGGCACTGCAGATGCCCGAGGGCCCGGAGGTTGAAAGCGTAGAGGGGTGATCAAGAGAAAATAAGCACAAAACAAAAAAAAAAAACATGTTCCCATCAGCCCTGGGAGCCAGTCCGTCGAGAACATGACCCGGAACGCCAGCGGCAGCGCGAAGGCCGTGATGTCGGTGTCGGCATAGATGTTCACGGCCTATTGGGGGGGGGAGCTCTGCTTCTTCCATCGAACCCCCCCTCCACTGAAGGCGGCTCATCGGCAAATGCGCGGGGGGGGGGTCGTCGGAATGCCGGGGGGGGGGCTGGGGCAAGGCACGGGATTTTGGGGGGTTCAACAAAGTCGAGGACAGCAAAACTCTGGATTGTGGATTCGGCACACCGCACAGCACTTCCTCCACACAGACATTCAACACCGCCACCATAGAGCACCCACACTCCACTCGCAAAAAACAGCCTAGGCCGAATTGCCGCTCTGTCCTCCAACAATGACAATTTCGCATGGGCCGACTGAAACAACCGCGCATCTATCGCCACCCACACCCCTCCAACCCCAAAAGATGATTGATAGATTCGCGGAATCTTAGTAGTTTCAATACCCCCCAACTCACGTGATCGCGCATCTCGGCAGGCTTTGGACCGGTTCCTTGCTAAAGCAAGTAAGACTCAGCCTAGCTTTCCCGATTATAAGGACGATTGCATGGAAGGGGCACCCCCCGTGCTTTTGAGGAAATACCCAGCTGGGCTTCCGGCGGCTGCACCGCACATCTCCAGCGTGGTCGCCTGCGTCGAGCTCTGGTTCGAAGCGATGACCACCTGGTGGGAGTCCTGCTTTCTTGTGGCGACCAAAGGATCCCTGTACTAGTACAATTCCGATTCAAGTGCATGAACCCTAAACCCTTTCAGGGTTCCTGTGGTCCCCAAGGTGTCTTGAGGTTGCACCTGAACAAACGGAACCAAGCCCGTGACCCCAGGTTGCGACACTTGCGGCACTTCCGACTCGAAGGAAGTTTTGGGGCACAGAGTCCTCGAGGAGGGTTTTGTTGTCCTGGAGGAGGGAGATGCCCGATCCGAACTTGAGGGTGCCCTGGGCCCGGACTTCGGCGTGGAACATCCTCGGAGAGTCGGATCTTAAACGCTCCTCCGTTTGAACCACTTGATCTGGATCGAGTTCCTACGGTGTGAAGGGGGCATTTTCGGGACGAGGGATAAGCTTCAAGCGGTGCGGCCCAGCGTCGGATTGAAGTTGATGGGCACCCCTGGCATCGGAAACACCTGAGACTCCGAAAGTCGCGCACAACCATGTAGAACAAACAGCAACGACGCAACTCTACGTTGTTTACCGAGCCTGGTCTTGCGCCTCATCTGGGTCGCGACTTCAAAAGCTTCCCTGCTAGAAGCCCAAAAGAAGCCCAAAGCCTTCGTCCCATCGACCACGTCGCACGAAAAACGGGTGGCCCCTCAATGCTCCGAGCAGCCGTGATGAGCGGTCCGGCTCCCACGCGGATGGAGGCAAAAGCGCTCGCCCCGATCGCGAAGCCGTCCTCTCTGGTTGAATTTGGGTCTTGAGAGCAGCTTCGAGGAGTTCAGGGTGTTGAGACGTATCCATGTGTCGCCGAGCTTGCAGCTTTGAAGATTAGCTCCCACACCGCCCCGACTTTCAAGCGGAGACCTGATGATGGATCGACGGGCTCTTGAAGTTCACGTTGGCATTGCCCGACCTTGGCTTTGAAGTTCACACGAAGCAAGGATGACGGCAACTGTGCTGAAGTTTTGACCAAATCCAATTGCTCCAAGCAGCTTGTCGACGGTGACCGTCCCTGCGATGTCAAAATCCACATAGGCTCCCACCTCGACGGTGCCAGTGAGGATGCCATTCATCTCCAGCTCCGCAACGAACTGAAGCATGAACATGATGCAGAAGGCTTTCACGCAAACCACCTTCTTCTTGGGCCTTAGTGCGGGTGTTTTTCCAAAGCGGCTCTCAGTACTGGGATGCACAATTCGCATGGTGTAAGCTGCCGGCAGCTTGGGGAAGCGCTTCTCGGCAGTCAGCGCGCAGCTGCCCTGCGCCTCAAAGCCACGAAGGAACACGAAAGGAACACGAAAAGGAACACTAAAAGGAACAAAAAGGGAACACACAACACACCGCCTATTCTCATCGAAGGGTGGTCGTTGCCCCTTTTCTCACCTTAAGTGCCTTCACGAGCCCAGTGATGGAGGCGCGGATCAGGCCGGAGATGGTGGCCTGGGTGTTCCCGTTGGTATTCACGACCGTCTCAAGGGCAAGCTCCGATTGCACCGTGGCATCCAAGCCCATGTCCAGACTCGTCTCACAGGAACCCGAGGGCGCACGGGAGGTCTGGGATTTGAGTGCCCTCCGTTTCCTCAAGTGCTGGCCCTTTGGCTTGTTTGGCTGACTGAAGGTTCTTCCAGGCATGGTCAGCCGCCCGTCCTTCTTCTTCTTGCCAAAAAGCTCTCCGGATTTAGCTTCGGTCCCGTAGCCCATCGAAAGCTCCCCACCCTTCCGAAAAACGCACTTCACTGTCAAGCTGCTGGAACCAACCTCGACGCGGCTTCCGGCGCTGCAGTCGCAAGTGTTGCCGATCAGCAAGCGGCAGAGCAGGTTCGTCTTCTGCGCCACGCAAAGGACGAAGTCCTTTATGTGCGACCAGGCTTCGGCAGCGAGGCCTGCAGCGAGGGGCCCGAGCTTCTCGATGTCGGAGCCCAGCGCAGCAGCCTTCTCCGCGATGGCGCGCCCCATCTCGCCCGCCACCTTCTCCCCCGCCTTTGCCGCTTGCTTTGCTTGCTCCAGTGCAGCCCCGGCCAAGTCGGCCGAAGCATCTGCCACAAACTCGCCGGCACTTGCCAAGTCGAAGCCGACACCAACGGCCGTACTCCCAATCTGATCTGCCGCTTGCCGGATGGACCAGTCCAACATCGGCAGCTTCAGGTCTGCAGCCTTGATGACGTGTTTCCCGACCACCATCGCGGCGTTCGCGGCCGCAGTGCCCACTGTCAAGCCTGCGGATGCCAGCGTGTCGGCCGCGGAAACCACGCCATCAGCGATGTCGTGAAAGATCTTCGCGGACACAACAGCATCAAGGCTTTGATCTCGCGACGTGTCGCCCTCGTGCGCAAAGCTTCGTGAGCGAGCAATCAAAGCACTCTTCACGCCCTCCTGGAATGGTTTTCAAAAAGATCCCTCAATGGTTTTGGTTGTGCTGCCCCTTGGCAGGTTTTTACCTCCCCCCCCCCCAAGGTAGTGACCCTCCCACACATCCTGGATCTCCGTGGCGTCGGTTGCAAGCGACACATTCACAGCCTCCAAAATGGTGCTGTTGGATTCCTGCAAATGTCAGGCTTGAGTTTGGCTAGGATTTGTACCTTCAAGGCTTGCGCCGATAAGAAGAACCAACCACAACAACGTTTGAGGAGCATCCAGCGGAAATATTGCGGACCCCGCCCGCCTGCATCAGCTTCATCGCCCCAACTAAGGGAAAAAGCGCCCTGGCAGAAAATTCGAGTTGAATCCGAAACTTGTGTTGCATGCGACATGACATGACATGACATGACGTGACGTGACGTGACGTGACATGACATGACATGACATGAAGTAGGGTTTATATTTCTTGTATCCTCAAAAGGACACCCGGTAGATACACTCACCAATATGAAAAAAGAACCTTATATACAATATACACTCACAAAAAATAGAAATATATACCCTGCTTCACATGACATTACATGACCAACTACAATCGCGTCCCCATCTGAGCCCGCCGCCAAAGCAGGGGCCACAAAGATAGTGCAGACCACATGGATTGCTTCATTATGGACGGGAGGCGCCCGAAAGACACAGCTAATAAACTTCCATTGAAAAATGAAAAGCTGCGATGGCAAAGGCAACCTTCTACGCGTTCAACCGACAAACCTCCTTTCAAAAAGTGTCACAAGCCACCGTGTGCATTGTGGCGTTGGAGAGTCTTCTGCCACACTGCGTTTGTGTTGTTCCCTCGCAAAGTTTGCTAAACCTTATGGATTGTGGGACGCCATCATGGGTGGAACGCCATCATGGGCATGACATCCCTCAGTGATATCAAGATTTCGTCGCAGAAAACCTCCGCCGCCAGTCAACGTCTGCCTGTTGCTCCTCTCTGCTGTGGTTCTTGGGACTGCTCCTCTTCTCTTCTTTCTTCTTGTGTCTCTCTTCTTTCTCCTGAACCTCTTCCTGCCTGCTCGGAATCCTCGACTTCAACGGAACTTCAACGACCTCAATCTCTTTCATTCTTTCCTTCTCCTGCTTCTCCGCTTCTTCCTTCTGAATTCTCCCGTCTTTCGTTCTTGCGCTTCCTTCAGTTCCTGCTTTGCCTTCTCCATCTCCATCTTGTGGGCTTCCCGCTCTTCTTCCTCTGCCTTTCTCCTTGCCTCATAGGCTTCTAGCTTTTCTCTTTGCTTCTTCGCTTTTGCTTTGCAATTGCCTCGTTTTCGGCGTCATCTTTGTCCTGCGCTGCCTTCCTTTGCTGGGCTGCCTTCTCTTCCTGCGCCTTCCTCTCTTGTGCTTCCTTCTCCTCTTGTGCTTTCTTCTTTTCCTGTGCTTCCTTCTATTCTTGTGCTTTCTTCTCTTGCGCTTCCTTCCTCTCCTGCGCTTCCTTCTTTTCCTGCGCGGCCTTCTTTGCCTGCTCCTTCTGTCTCATTGCTTCTGGCGTTCCTCCTCTTCAATTCTTTCCTTGTTCGCCTTCCTGATCTCTGCATTGATCCTGTCTTCCTCCTCTCTTCTTTGCTTCTTTGTTCTGCGTCTTCCAGCTCTTCAGCTGCTCTCTTCTGCTCGTCTGCTTCTCTCTTCATGTACTTGTCGAGCATGTCATAGTCCTTCTTGAGCTGCTCTCTTACTTCTCTCACATCTTGCTTGTATGCTTCTTTCTGTCTCTCCAACTCTTCGTTCTCCTTCATTGTTGCTTTTCTCTCTGCTTCAACTTCGGCGTACTTCGCGACCACTTCGCGACCATCTTCGCCTTCAAAGCAAATGCTTGGTCACGATCATCACCTTGCGAGCTTTTCGCTTTGTCTTCTTCTTTCTTTGGAACTTCTTCTTTGGGCTCTTCTTTGGGTTTCTCTTTGAGTCTCTCTGCTTCAGGCTTCTCTTCTTCTTCCTTCTTCACCTTCTCTTCTCTCTTTTGGTTCACTGCCAAGCGAACAATGATCGTCACCAGCACAACAATCACAGCCACGCACACGGGCACAAACATCTCAAACTCGGGCATGCTCGTGAAAAAGTACTCATGCCTCATGCTGCTGTTGCTGCTGTGACCATGTAAAACTTCTTGTTCATGTTCTTGAGGTTCTTGAGGTGGCTCTTGAGCTGTTGAAAACGGTCCAAGCACAAAAGTCATCAACTGCATACAAAAATAGCTTCTTGCTTCAAAATCTCCTTCTCTTTGACCTGCAGATTCAACCGAAACCAAAAGCTGACAATACAGGGGAGGCCCCCACACGCGAAGCCAGAATTGCTTAGATTTTTCGACCCCAGATTTGGAGTCGCGCAAACTGGCAAACATGCGTACAGTACAGGAACGACTTGGTCTCATAGGACTTGCTGTGAAAATCAAGCCCCAAAAAACAATCTCGAAGCCAAACGATTTTGGCCTGATGTGGCCTCAAACCCACACAGTCTTGCTTTGTTGCGGCCTGTGGCCTGAAAACCACACGTTTGTTGTGGCCTGACTGTTGTGGCCTGACGTGGCCTTAAAACCACACGTTTGTGGCCTGTTGTGGCCTGGCCTCAAAAACACGCGTTTGTGGCCTGTTGCGGCCTTGTTGTGGCCTCACGGCGTGTTTTTCCCCGGAAAAATCGCATTTGTGGCCATGGAGACTCGGGACCCTATAATACTATTGAAAGGGTCCCCACGCACAGCAAGCAAACGTGGGGTAATGAGGCCAGATCCGAGGACCGACCAGAATTTTAGTCCAGGTTTTTTCCCAAGTCGCTTATTTTCTTAACCTGAGACATTGTTACACGTGTTCAAGCACGACCCATGCACTGTTCAAAACGCGGCGTCGAAGAAAAGTTGACAGAAATAGAAATCACGTGGGGCCCCATGGATTTCACCACTCCGCTGCCCGTCACTGCATCACTTTCTCTCAGTCCGTCTTCCTCGCTTCCTCACTCTCTCTCACTCTCACTCTCACTCTCACTTTCACGCTCACTCTCACTCTCACTCTCACTTTCATTCTCACTCTCACTCTCACTCTCACTCTCACTCTCACTCTCACTCTCACTCTCACTCTCACTCTCACTCTCACTCTCACTCTCACTCTCACTCTCTCACTCTCGCTCTCGCTCTCACTCTCATCACACTCCTCACACGCTCACAGACACTCTGTCTCTCTCTCTCTCTCTCTCTCACACGCAAGCACTTGCTGCTCCAAAACATACGTCTGTTTGGCTCTGGCAAAGACCAGGGTCGATGGCACTAGATTCAAAACGCTGCAAATGACAGGTCTGACCCATCAACGGTGCGTTAACCGCCGCAAAAACTGAGATTGGAAGACATGCGCCAAAATATATAGCCCAACAACTTGACCATTGTTAGAACCCCAATCAAGGGGTGGTGTGGAAGAGCTGGATGTGATGCGTCCCTGCCCTTTCTAGTATCTGCGGAGATATCTGTGAAAATCCATGTTTCTTTGTTGTCCTGATGTGCAAGTAGCTGTCTGGCACATGCAGGAAGGAAGTTTTCTTCTTCTGCTCCAGCAGGTCAGTCACGAAGTGGTGGTTGCGGCGGGACCCTCCCGCAGGCTGGCGGTGATCGCCAATCCTCAATGTGGGCCAAGACGCAGTTCGCTTCTGGAGTGTCTAACTGCTGGGCTTCGTCCCTCAAAATAACCTCCAAAACCTCAAGCGTTTTGGCCAGTGAGAAAGCAAAGCCCAAGTGCGCAGTAAGGCTCCGCAACAAGCGTGGGGTGCCCAATATTATGAACGTCAAAGGGGAGTTGGTACGTGTTCTTTTTCTTCTTGGTAGGACCCGTGTTGCCATGTGCGGTGTAGAGCACGTTCCGAGGTGTAATACCTACCATTAAAATTCCTAGAAATGCGCACGCGCGTGTTTTGCCGCTGCCTGGGGCCCCCTTGTAACGAACACAACCGGTTAGCGCCCAGCGCATGTGTGCAGGCACCATACGGCCAAGATGTCAAAGGAAAGTGGGACCCGCCACCAAGACAAAGACCGCCGCCCTTTGCGGAGGTCATTTTCATTTGAATGCTACTTGAAGGAATTCGCAGAGCTCACGTCGGCCAAGTCAGCTTGAGCTTGCCGGTCTTTGGAAGGGTGTTAAGAATGCCCGCAAGGAGCTCCGACTCCCAATTTCTCGGCTGTTGCTCCATCCCTGGGCAAATTCCTGCCGGGGATTGTCTCCTTCAGTTGAAGGGATTGGAGGGCGCCACGACTCATGCCGCATGCCAGTGTTCCAGAACAGCCCAGGTCAAGGAGGAAAGAGAGAAGCCAAGGGGGTTGCGATTGCAGTCTAGAGAACCATTGTCGACTGGCACTCCAAGAGCAGCGTGCCTCCGCTGCTTTAGGGAGATGCAGCAACGCATTCCATAGCGGAGTGGCCCCGCTCCCCCAGGTAGCAAGAGGGAGACACTCCGCCTGAACCAGCCATGCGTGTTGTTCATCGCTGACCATTCACGCAATTCTCAAGTGTTGCGGTTGCATCCTTATTAGACTCTCCAAGTTGCACCTTCAGCCTTTTATGCGCCGTGACTCGATGAACACTTCTGGAAGTGTTAGCTTCCCTTTGGGTTAGCAGGACCGCAGCTCCCTTTCCCGGAACTTTGCCATCAACCACAAACCACATTTTCCTCTTCTCAGCCACGTTACCAAGATCAGGAACGAGTGCAAGCAGGATGGGGCAGGAGTAGAAGAGCATGCGATGCTGGCTTGGCATTAGGGTCCACAAGCGTCTCCATCTCCAGGCCTGAGAGCCCACACAAGTTGGCTACATGCAATATGCTGCCTACACCGACCGGAGCAGGACTGCTTCGACCCATCATGGCCCCGCTGTTCGGTTGGCTGCTTCTCATGTGGCTGGAATGCAAAAGCTATAACTTAAAGACATCATTCCAGCATGTCACCAAGGCTGACAGTGTAGCAGTTGTCCCTGCGGCAAAAATCGGCCATGGCAATTCCTCGCCCTTGAAAAAGAAGTGGGCAGCTTCGCCAGACCGGGACCAAGATGGAAGCACCGCCCATGGTAACTCCGGAAAAGAGGCGCAGACGCGCGCGTTGCCCGTTTTGGCTTCTGGAGCCGCCCAGAGTGCCCCCACCTTCAACTACCCGCTAGGCCACGCACAAGCGGACGTGACTTTTGCACACAAAAGCGGACCCAGAATCTGGCCTCGGAACAATTTCCTGCGCAAAAACCCGGAGCACATATGGAAAACCTACTCCTGCTGAAAAATACAGCTGGGTTAGCCCCAGCGGCTCCTGGCTGCCTGGCCGCGTCACTTCTGATTCTCCCTGCCATCAGCATCCACCTCCACAACCTCACCTGGCAGCGCTGCAAAGCCGCACGACACACTGCGCCGCTTGCATCTTGCCTATCTGGAGGAGCGCCGACCGCATCATGTGACAAATTCCAAAGCTTGAAGTAACGCTGAGGAAATCCATGGTGCCATGGAAGCTCATGGAAACCCTCGCTGAAGCTTCTGACATCTTTTTCCAAAGCCGCGCAAAGCATGAGAAAACCAATCGAAACCCCGCGGAGATTTTGC